AACTCCAATGCAGAACTTGTGAGAAACGTGCAAACTCAACCGAAATTATTTTCTGGCCAACCTAATAGATTCAATGACGAAAGAAAACCTCACATGATTAGAATCTCAGCCCACTTTCTGTTGTATGCAGCCAACGATAAGGAAACAATGTGAATAGAAAACAATATCAAAGGAAATGAGGAACGTCAAAACTGAGACGATGTCAGTGATTTGCGGTTTTTTTGGAAGTTATAACGCTGATAATGAGTCATGGTTTAGAGTACTTCCGGCCGTTAAATAAGTACTTAAAATAGTATTATGGTATTATTTATGATAGGTCGTTCATGAAATATTACTCGCAGTTCTTCAAAATATCCTTAGATCTTTTTCTCTCGAGTTGACAGCGTTTCTCGCGCTTTTTTTTCTCATGGAAATCGCTTTACTTTGGTTTCATCTTTTGTTTTGTTTGAATGAAACTTGTAGCCTAAGATTTATTTTTGGTTACTATAGTATTCTTTTTACCAAAAAGTATCATAAACCTGCGTCTCTACTTCTTATTGCATTTAGCTGGCTTCAGGTACCTGATTGTACACCAGCACGACCTTAACAGTTGTTCTCTGAACTGCTTTTCATATCGGAGAACATATTCGAAAGTGCTGAAAAACTGAAGCAAAGAGATTTTTTGCTTCATGCGTTATTAGCAGAGTGGGATTTTCCACTTTTGAAGCCACCTGCTTGCAATTAAACATCGATTATAATGCAAATTTGTAAATGAATTGTTGTGCGGAGCTTTAGGAAAGTTCCATAAAAGAGGCCTACATATGAATCAACCTATACGCTATTTTCATGATTTAGAGTATGATTTACTGAACAATATTTTTTCTTAGTTTCCTCATAAAGCTATTTGGGGATGATTGTGTAATTAAATGCGTCTACAACCACGTTGTCCTCCTAGCGATTGACAGCGTACTTAACACCGCTCCTTCCGCTGGCAAATACTTCATTGCGATTTGCAGACCAGGTTCTGCAAATGCAAAAATATTTGAGCAGCTGTTAGTTTGCAACTTAGTGAATCTCAGTTGCGAAACTTTTTCCATGTAATTCTTTTCCTAACACACTTCAGCCTCATATTAATGGATTGTTATGCAACATTTGCTTCTTGCAATTTTCTACTATATATTCTGAGAGAAAATTGATGGATGGAATATTGCGAATTTAGACTTGATGAATTACTCTTTCACTTTTGAAGTAGATGTTGAAGTACCTCTTAAGATATGGAAACTTCTGATGGGCGCAGCAATATAAATACAACATCTCTGCACGAATTCTCACGCTTTCTCCCATTCCGATTTAGC